ATAAATACAAATTCTACATTTCTCGACTCAATTTTAATTAAATAAATACTGAATTTTCCTTATTTGCAGTCGGAATAATTTACATTCCAAGTTTTTCAGTTCTTTTTTTCACTTAAAAAATAACTTACGCTGCAGATTGAAAATTATAGAGAGATAATGGTCGTTCATGTCGAAGCAGATTTTTTGCATACCAGCCATTCGTAATAATTATCCCGCCTGGGAATTTATAGTTTTTCGCGTTTGTCATTGTGTCGCTCCGTCCGTCGCCGTATATCGTGTCGTGAAGGTCCGCGCAGTCGAAATGTTCGGAATGTCCCACCGTAGTCTGATAAAACGCCAGGCACGTGATGAAAACGTATAAATTTCTGGAAATTTGCTGCCTGTAATAAACCCTTCTGCCGCCCCCGCCCGCACCGCCAGCACCAACCGCCCGCACTCGCCGCAGGCAATGACCCGTGTTTTGTGAGCGTGGTATTTTCATTTACAATAGCGACACGCGCGCCGCACAATGATATCAACCTGCAATGGTTGACCACTATTTGCAGTTTACATAAAATTGGTCAGCGCACAAAAACTTGAATCAGTTTTATTGTTAAACATAATCAGATAGTGTTTGAAGCATTGTTAGGGCGAGTGCTGCAAATTGTACAAATTGAACATATTGTTTGACTGCTTTTTGTCGTAATCCGCGTGTGTAACTATTGTAGAACGCAATTAAATTATAAATGCGCAGAATTATCGTATTACTGAAATTTGTGTCGTCAAACAAATTGAAATTCTACATTATTGGCTGTCGCTAAACATCACTCAGATTATGTATTTATTTAATTAAACTTTGGTCGCGGAATAAAAATTAATTATTTATTAATTAAATGTTTAATGATTCTTTTTATAGAAACCGGTATTTATGAATACCGGTATTTTTTAGCTAATCTCGTAATACCGGTATTTTTAAAATAAATAAATTAATAACAAAATTAATAATTTTTAACAAATAATACCGATATACCGGTATTGATACCAATATTTTAGCGTTATACCGGTATTAATACTGGTATTTTCCACTACTATTAAAATATCAATCATTGAAAACTAGGATCCAATACGAAACACTAAATCAAAACTAACAAAGAGAAACTTACAATTTCTTAAATTGTTAAAACGTGTTTGTAACACACGTAAATCTAATTGTTCTGCAGTTGTACTTCATAGACAATTACAATTTTCATGTGTTACCATCCCTCACCCCACGTAAATACCTACCAAGTGAATATTGCAGTGCATGCGAGTAAGTGAATCGCACTGCCGGTGAAGCAATGAGAATGAAGCTTAATTCAAGCGTGGAGCGGCTGATTAATTATTAAGAATCGCAGAGATTCTTACCCCGCGCTTGCATTAACAATGATTCGGCTCGGTGCGCGCCGATTCAATGCCGCACCCGCATGATGGGCATACATGAGGCGTCCCGACGCGCGCGCTGCACGCTCGTTCGCGTTCGCTGCGAAATTAATCATGCCCCAAATTGCTCCCTAATGCTTTCCGCAAACTTATGACTCTGACGTCTCATCGCGCTGGGGAGTTCAGATTCGAGACGAGTTTTTGATTATCCCGATGAAATTTACTACGTCAACATCAATAATATGGTTTATTTAAAGTTGCAAGAAAAAATAGAGAGCAAATTACACTTGAACCGAAAATACTGTAATATATTCAAATTTAGGTTGAGCTTTTAGTTTTTGGCAAATTATTTGATTTTTTTGTTTTTATGGAAAGACATAAAAAGCAAAAACATTATAATTTAAATATTACAAAAATTGCATAGATTTGGATACAATGGAGGCGCCGGGATGTTTTTTTATTTTCTGGAATGCTTGCATCTCTAATTACTCTGCTAAAAATTTATTTGAATAGTAACGCATTGCTAGCATTTTTAATGGTTTATAAAATGCAAAATTGCCAAAAAATCAATTATTGCAAGTTTTTCGGAATTTTTTTTACAAAGAATGAAAAAAAAACACAGAAAAACCGTCAAGTTTATATTTTTCGAAAACTACTCTTAAAAATTACGCAAAACTGTACCTTTTTCTCTAGCAATAAAATTTAAGAATCAAATATCTCCCGATTTAGGCAGTAAAAATCCAGTTAAACGGAGATAAATTTCACATTTATGTAGACAATGAAATTCAATAAAATAGGTAATATAATAAATGAATCAATGTAAATATGTGTATAAATGTTCCAACAGACCGTCCATCGGCGATAATAATTTATCACAACTGCTCCAGTGACTTGACCGAAACCTCCCTTAATGCCCAAAGCGGTCGAGATGCGCCCGTGTGCTCACTCTCAAGGATCAATAGCTCGCCGTCGCTGTGAACTTTACTGGTTTTGGATTTATCGACGTTATTTAAACAATAAAGCGCGCCATCAACAATTTTAACTTCATAAACTACCTTCAATGCGCCGTTAAAATTATTGGAGCATAAAATCCATGAGTGCATATTTCGAATCGCATAATATCAGCCTCTCTGATTGGTTGATTTGCAAGTGGAAATAATCATCACGTCCGATGTGTACGCAGCGTTGTTGTGCTGTTTTTATTCCAGCGATTTATTTTTTGCTGGCAAACTGGGTCGCCAATTTGCGGAACAATGTTATACATTTGCGCTGGCGAAACATCCGCACGATATGAATTGCGACAAAAGGTCACAAGCCGTAAAATACTCAAACCGGTAAACACGCGCCATGTTAACTTCGAAGGTTAAACAATGGCGAACGCGCGATAATCGTGTAACGCAACGAATTTCACTTTTTTTGCTGTTTTTGCGTTGTTTTATGAATGATATTGGTTTTAGTTTTGGATTAGGATATTGATGCAGTTATATGAAACATAATTAAGTTGTCAAATATTATACAACGCGGATATTGTGTGTTTATTATGAAATACAGCGTATGGAAGTTTTGCTGTTCATTATCTCTTCATATTGAGGGAATAAACAGTGCGTCAGTTTTATGAGGGCGAGATTAAAAGACGACCGGCCATTTCGTTTAGTTTATCGACGTTGCCCATCTCTACACAGCTCACCAATCTACATTTAGACACGAAACGCAATTATTTTATTTTACATTGGTTGGCATATTGTGGAGGCGCCGGGCAACTGGGTTAAATTTATGTTTTTATTAAATATTTTCATTTTATCATGTTTATAAAAAAATTAATATGTATATTATCCACATTTTTACAAAAAATAATTTCATTTTGAACGGTTTTTAATCGTTTTAATTATTTGTGAATACAAAAAAATGCTCTGGTTTAAATTAAATAATTTAAAAGCGTGCTTATTTATTTTAATGGACGTTGAGCATTTGTACGATTCAAACAATATAAAATTACACGCAATTACTTCAACTTCAACTTGACTTCTGCGTTTGCATGGATACAGATACAGTGGAGGCGCCGGGTGTTTTTGCGTTCACTTGAATGTTTACATCTCTAAATGCTCTCCTAAAAATTCATTTTATTATTAAGACACTGCAGGTATTATATTTTTACGTCTTGGCCGCGTCTTCAACGCTGCAGCGTGTTTACGTAATAAAAATTTCAGGCAGCCAACTTTATGTCGAGCTTACTTTACTCGCGCTCGCCGCATTCTTTGTGCATGCGCGCGTCATTTAAATATGCATGAACGCATGAATTATGACAGATTACAAAACTTGCAACCGACTGAAGCAATTCGACCGTTTTAATATCAAACAAGCCGGAACTACACAGCATTTACATACATCTGCATGCGGCGCTCGCGGCGCCAAAAACGCGCCGAAATAAGTTACAAGTTATAAGTTGCAAGTTTTCGAAACGTACGCTCGAACGTGCTAACTTTGAACCAAAACTCAAATATTCATATGATGGGTGAATAATTTATCATGCAATTAGACCATTAATTACGTGAATTACGCGTTATTTTGCGGTAATGGACAAGCGCTGTGTGTTTGTTTATTTATTTGCGATGAGGTTTTCCGGAAGTTTGCGCATTGAGTTTGAGTGATTATGACTGGTTAAAAATCGAACAATAACGGTTTTGTAATTCGGGCGACATTGATGGATGGAAACTTTTGATGCCCAGTAACATACGATACATTTGTAACAATTTTTAAAAACCACAAAAGCAAAAATCAAAAAATCTAACCTCGAATATGTAAAATAAAATAAAAGCAACGCCATCTAGGTGAGCGTTTTGTAAATTAAAATAAATGATTTTACGTGTATGTTGAAATTAAATTTTATTCTTTGAAGAGAAACATCGACGGCGTCGGAGGCGGCGGCGTCACAACTATTACGTGCGGCGACTTTCTTCTGATGCAAAAAGCACGAGCGCGACAACATAAGAGGTCGTGCGCGCGCGTGCGAGCAAAAAATAACGTCCTGGCGGGCTTTTAAGGATATATGTGTGTGTATGTGTGTTTATGCCGGTTGTGCGTTATTAATGAGGCGGCGCCATTGTTGTATCTCCGACAAAGCGCTGGCACCGCAGCATCGGTCGTGCGTATTGTTTTTCATCTTTTCATGCTTGCTTTGCGACGAATGTGCGATCTCTTTCAAATAGGCGTGTGCCAGAAAATATAAGGCCAAAACTGGAAACTAAAAGACACGCACCCGTTGGCTCTTTTAGTATCTTTTGAATTTTGTTCTTTGAAACATTCATGAATTTTCATGGTAATAATTTTCATTAAAAACTGTATTTCTGAGGTGTAAAAAGTTATTACTTAGCACTAGTGTTATAATGAGTAAATTTATACACTAGAATTAAAAATACAACTTTTTACATTCAATATAATTTCAATTTTAAATGTTTTCTTATTTTTTTATTTTTAAGGTGCAGGAAGTTATACTTTTAAGCACTAGTGTTATAAAGTGTATTTTTAATCACTTGTATGAAAAATACAACTTTTCACACGCAAAAATAATCTATTTTAATTTTTAATTTTTGTTATTGTTTCAGTGCCGCCGCAAGGAATTCAAGTCAGCGACGATCACGGCCCCATCAAGAACGGAATAACGTCGGCATACGCCGAGGGTGCCAGTTTAACGTTGACTTGTTCTGCATCATCAGGTAATTTATCATCACCATTAAGCACCCCCAAAACGCTCCACTCCCTCGTCGCGCCCGACATGTGCTGCCCGAGGACGCGTTAACTAATCGCGGTTTAATCGATTTTCCGGCATCTATTCCAATAAGCGACAGCTTGTCCCCGCACCGCGATAGTGCCCTTTTTTCTTTTATTGTCGCGTCCCACCCTCGACACAGAGAATAAAATAAAATTCGCCATCACGTGCGATTTATGAATGGCTTTTTTACGTGCGTGTTTTTTTTTGCACTGCGAGCCTTTTATGCCATGGGTGGACACAATAAAATTCTACGCACTAGGTCAGTTATAGCTATCGTTAATATTGTCGTCCTCTTTTACATCTTTTATTATGCGTCTTGGCTTTGATCACATTGCGAAGGTAGTAAAATCTTAATACTCGCTTTTATCGGTGGATAAAATCGTCGAAATTAACTAAAGTAGATTTAAGGTTACGGTTTTATTTCGAATCATATTTATTAAGTTTGGGTAAAAATCCAATTATTTTTTGTATTAAAAACAGATTGCAAATGGCAAAAAATACATTTTTTTCTAATTTAACCTCAAATTTTCACTAAAAATATGAATTTTGCAATTTTAAATTTTATATTTATTTAATTTGATTAAAATTAAACAATTAAGCATTTCCTATATTAAAATAAATCATTACATTTAATTTTTACAAAGATAACCTGCAAATTTTGGACAATTTTTACTAAAAAATCAAAATTATTATTCAAAACACTAAAAATGTTATTATATTAAACTTATTATAACATGAAATTAACATACATCCTCCAATTATACCAAAACTAATCTCAAATTTCATCTATTTTTCACTCTGCATACACAACATCGCAATTTATCAAGTTAAAAAGTATCCAATTATTTTTTGCTCTCAAACTGGATTTCACCACGTTTTTTAAGACGAACTTTAATGAAAACTTATAAACTTATGTAATCCGTAAATTTCATAATGCGCCGCGCGCACCGCAAAAATAAGTTTACGGAAAGACTGCGATTAAAGTGCACTTACGAATATGGCGTTTGCCTCTCACCTCTGTTCAGCCAAGAGTACATTCACCTTTTTATATATTGTGCTATCGCGCGCGCAGTAAATATAAAACTTGCTACGCCTTTTTTTATTCAAGACTCACATTTAATCAATAAAGTTTTCAGCTCTTGCAGTGAGCACTTAACGCGAAAGATTAAATCTTGAGCTTTGATAGGAAAAAAAATATTTCTTTGATCAAGTTTACATATTTAAAAAGCAATTTACAACAAAATTACAGTTTAGATGTTTATATTATTAATTCAGAAATGAGAAATAAATATAGAGCTTAAAATCAACTTTTATCACCATTTTTACATCTTTCTAATTATTTTTTCGGAACAAAATTTAGTCTATGTTATTCTCTAATATTCAAATTTTCCTTATACGAAAATTTATGAAAATTGGTTGAATGGTTTTTGCGTGAAAGCGTAACAAACATTCACGTAACAAAATCACAGATATACTTGTAATATTACTTCAAATTGTTTTTATGTCACATATGTAATAGCAGTATGAAAACCCAATTTTCATCACGCACGCAACTGGAAAGCCAGCCTTCCATGTTGTTATCTCAATAGAACTTTATGCTAAATAAGTTTCAATCCTTCCTTATCTCATCAGCGCGGCGCACTTCGATTTTGGGACGAATTAATTAACTACAGGATTTTAACTTAGTTACCAACTTGCTCCCAATATACTCCACCAACTCAGGGTGTAGCAAAAAGACAAAAAAATATTTAAAAAGTTTAAGAGGATTATTATCATTGAGCCTGCTCTGTCAAGTAGAATAACTCGAGCATAAAACTTGTAGTACAAGTTTCCGTAGGTGCTTACTTCCTCTGCAAGTATAAGAGTTGTAGCCTTTTACGAAAATGTACCTTATTAGCAACGTAACAGGACCTACGAACTTCAGGTAACAGTCGTCGACTTACTCCCCGGGGCACAGCATGCACGCGAGCAACTTGTGCAAGTCCAAGACTTAGATTTTAAAATTTTTCACATTCCATATAACTTTAAACATTGTTAGTGTTCGTATATAATCCGTGAAAATTGTTTGTAATATTTGTCCGTGCACATTCGCGAATGTCTATTGAAATTAATTACGTAGAAACGCGCTTTAGCCGTGCATACTTCAATGATGAAGTTTTGCAAAATCCGCTGCGCCAGCCAAACTTCGCACTTAGCTCCGCCGTGTGCATTTCGAATAATTAGATTATTCTATTTTATCTTCTCTCGAATGGTAATCGTAATGATATCAAAACACACGCGCGACGCGAAACTTTGCGACATTCAGCAGTCATGCAAGATCAAAACATTTACTCGAAAATGTTGCTTAATATTATACGCAAAGTTTAGTCTACCTGCTCAAAAGCTTAAATTTTATCTGAAAATGATTAGGGAAGGTTATGGGATCACCCTGTATATATGTAGTGTTTTTGTGACCTCATGGCGTATGAAAAACCTTAAAAATGCCAAAAAAACATCAAAATCACTTACTACACAAAATTTCGATAAATCTAACCTCAATTTTTCACTATTATGATATTTTTTTAATGACATTGGGTCACTTTTCGACAAAAAATGAAAAATATTTAAAATGAAGTTTTGCATAATTTTACGTCAAAATAATCAAAATTTTGTTACTTTTTCATTTATTCTAACCTCAAAATGCAAATATAACCTTAAAACTGCGCTTCCCTGCTTAAAATCTTAATTTTTGATGTTTTGATGACACCCTGTATTGTGTTGTGTTGTCTTTTGGACTTGCGTGACCTCTTGAAACATTGACGGGCGTAGGAGAATCGTAAAAAGCGCTCGAAACCTTTCTTTATATCTACATGTTCACATTGTTCACGGTTATGACCGGGTCTAAGGTCCGAGCAGATCAACTGAAATTTTATTTTATATCTCGCCCATCTCCGACCGCTGCCGCCGCCCGTTGCCTTGATATATTTTACAGTCCAGGGCGATTGTTGGGCGAATAAAACCGGCAAGTGTTTCCAATCTATATACATGGAGATGGAGATTCGGCGCACGTTGTTGCGCGTCAAGGATTCGTGAATATTTTTTTCATCCTTCCGCAGCGATGTTTATTCGCGTTTTCCGCCCCAAATTCGGCCATTTCTGCCCAGAGTGCGTTTCGCTCCTATCTACAATCTATAAACGTACCGCGCAATGCGCTTTCTTTTCGCCATCTGCGCCGAAATACAAGAAAAAAATTTGATTTTTACACGAGGAAAAAGTGATTTTATGCTAAATTGTTTTTGCGAACGAGATTTGTTTAGCACGACGTGTATTAGGGCATTAGGCAATCTGGAAAAAGCAGCGTGACAAGTTTATAGGGCGTGGAATGCGCACCGGGATAGATGTGCAAATTTCTGTGCGCCAGGGCGTGTTTGCCGAATATTATAAAGAAAATTTTACATAAATATTTGTTCGGCGACGAACGGCACGCGCGCATCGCGTACAACAAATTTTTCAATTAAGTTTGAGACAGCTGATGCCTTCGCGCGAACACTGAACGATGTTGATAAAGTAAACATCGTTGAATGTTTGTAATTTATTTCGTGTCCCTGGGAGCGTTTTCCGGTGTTGGGAGGTACGGCTAGTTTCCAACACATTCAACATCTTGAAATACAATGGTAGGTAGTACGAGAGGGTGAGTATAAGCTAAGTAAAGTTAAGTAAACACTTACTGTACGCTATACCCTCACAATATCGCCAAAACGATATTTTTACGAAACCATTGCAAGTCAATGCAAGTATTTGTCAAGCCTGATGTGGATAGCTATTTCGACCATTAGAGGTCTCATCAGCACACCTACTGGCTTGACAAATACTGCATTGACCTGCCATGGCTTATATACAACTGGCTTATTATTCAAGACGCAGAAGTATTACCTAGTACTACCTACCATTGTATTTCAATACTTATGCTTGCTTGCGCTAACTTCAGTCTCCACCGTTAGGTGGAGTTGACAATACATTCAACATCTGTTTGGGGAAACTTTTTTGCTGCAAAAGTAAAGTTTTTCAAGCAATTATTTCAGATTTTTAGCAAAATTTTTCTAAAAATCAACTTTTTTCGCAAAATTATTTCAAAAATCATTCGATTTTTAAATGATTTCTGTTTTTTGCAATTTTTTTTCTAAAAAATCAATTTTTTGCCAAATGATTCAATGTTTTAGCAAAAATTTTCAAAAAAATCAATTATTTCATTAATAATAAATTTTTTAGCAAAATTTTTTCAAAAAAAATTAATTTTTACCCAAATTACTTACTATTTGAGCTAAATTTTGATTAAAAAAATCAACTTTTTTTCAAAGTATTTTATTTTTTACAAATTAAAAAAAAAAACTTTTTTGCGAAATTTTCTATTAAACTAGTTAAATTAACTTGTAAACGAAAATAAAACAACGTAAACTGTTGAGCAACTGGGCATAAAACGTAAATTCCGATTTTCTGGCCAACTTAACAAGCGAAATGCATTTATAGTAGCATAAAGGGCACGCAGGCGGCGATAAATCCTCGCAAAATAAATTACCCACGCTGCGTAATAATATGTGCGCGTATTCCGCGCGCAGATATCCATCATGCTTCCCTCGGCCGGCGCGTAATTAGATTTTTTTCCATTCGGCGAACTATCCCCTTGACGATAATACTCTTACACTTACTAGTCATGTCCCTTGTCCAAGTGAGCCCTGTATTTTAAATTATTTTACAAGATCCAACCCGGGGGCGGCGTCGTCACGTCATCACCCCGAAAGCCAAGGTAGCTAAAAAATCCATTGACATATTTATGAGGTCGGCGGAGTTTTTACGCTTCTTACGGCGTCGAGGGGTTAGATTTATTATGCCGGCTCGTATTAATATATCACAATTTCCAGGTAAACCGCTGCCGCGCGTGTCGTGGTGGCGCGACGGCGAGCAGATTTCCGACGAAACGCAGTACTTCGCCGAACGCAAGAAGTCGCAAAACGTGCTCAAGATAAACAAGCTGCTGCGCACCCATCTCTTGGCGGTGTTCAGTTGCGAGGTTAGTAATAGCCAACTGCAGCCGCCGCTGGTTGTACGCGTCGCTGTTGACATGTATCTGCGGCCGCTGGAGTCCCGCCTCCAAGGGGACAATCAGCCGCTAAGTGCCGGCCGCCGGACGGATATTACATGCAAATGCAAGGGTTCACGACCGCCCGCCGTCATCACTTGGTGGAAGGTAAGCGTTCGTTATTAATGTTTCTTGTTTTATTATCAACCCGCATGAATTTCCTCCAACGCGTTGACCTTTGACGTATGTACAAATATTGTCATTGTCAAAAAGGTGTTGGTTTGGTTGCCTATGTTAGGTTTAAAACTAACCTGTAATTACTGCCGTGAGGGGATTTCAACGTTAAATTTGATTATTAATATATTCTCGCGCACAATTTCTCATTAATTAATTGAACATCGGCGAAACTATTTGGCACGTCCCCGGCACATATTTGACATATGCAAATGCGGAGTTCATAGTCGAAGGAAGTTATTATGTGAAATTAAGTTCGAGCCTGGCGGGAATTGTTAAGTTCGGTCGCGCCGATCCGAACGACGATAAAGTCAACCGCCGTATATTAGCATCGCCGTCGGTGCGGAATACTGAAAAGCCCTCCATAACACCCACGCCGTTTTCCGGTAGGCGCGTGAAATTGCGTGTAATAAATTGATCGCATATTGGTACATGCGCTGCACTTCCGGCTCCAGCACTAGCCATTTCTATGTTAATAGAAAATAATATCGGCGGCCATGATGGCTATGGCCACCAACAGGTGATCGATGTTTTACGACTAGTTTTTCATTTTACTACCGGAGATATTACCATTCGGGATTGATTTTATCTAAAATTTGTTTTTAGATTATGTTTGGTTATGTGAGGTTATGTTAATATAAAAAAAAATCAATTTGAAAAGGTGTCGCGTCGGCGAAATATAAGAATCTAGTAAATTTCAATAATTGGAACGCGCGGTGTAAATTACGCCGCCTAATTAAATTGGGCCGGGAGCGGGTCGAGTGGGATATTGAGAATTTAATGAATTTATTGGGTTCCAGCCGCCTCTGGTTTGGAAGAAGCGGCCAGAAAGAAGGTAAACAGAAAGTAATTTCGTTTGAGCCGCAAGAACGGCCCAAAGGAAATATCCAACGTAAGTTTTTTTTCCGCTCCGACGGTGCGCGAGTCGCACACCCGATGTTTGCGTGCGTTTGGCAGTGGGTTTGGGCCCCGGCCGCAGCCGCCGCCGCCGGCGGCGTTTTTGTCCTCGTTTCGACGTTTTCCTTTTGTTTCCTTATATGATTCTAATCTTTTCCTTTTTTTATGTCGTTGACCATAAATGATAGGTTTAGCGGGGGTGGCGTGTTGCCACGGGGGATGCGAGAAACAAAATCAAACGTATAATAATTTATTTATTTATTACCGCGCCCGCGCGCGCTCGCGTTTGAATAAAAATTTATTTATATTCCGCGTACGCTTTTTGTTAATACGCCGGCGGAATATCAATGCCGGATGTGGAGGCGCCGTCTGTATCATCTTGTTCTTTTGTGTACCGAATATGTTTGTTTCGGCGCGCGGCGGGAAATCCGCGCCGCACGGAAAAGAAGTCGCAGGGGTGGTAAGACGTTTGAAAGAAAATTCGATGCCGAGATGGAGTTTAAGGCGTGGATAAAAACGATTAAGCTGGCTTTTGTTTGGCGAATTGTATTAAAACATAATCTATATTCATCCAGGACTAAACTCGATTCAATTATAAACTTTTTTTCTATACACGAGCATGAATAAAATCAAATCAAAATATTATTGATTTTTTTTATCCAAAAATAAATTGAGTATATTAAGTATCAAGTGCGCTAAATAGCATTTTACTTACTTGCGACAACAAAGCGCATGCGCGGCTGCAGCTCGTGTCAACGCGGCCGTAAGTGGTTTCGAGTGCGTGCGCGAACTCCCATGAATTATAACCTTCCATTTCCCAGTAGTATGCTAATTAAATTCGAAGTTTTGAAATAAAAACTTTAAATACAAAAATTAAACGTGAAAATTCAGTAAAAATAAAAAAAAATATCACATCGCTAAACGTGGTTAAAGTGCCACTTAGCGCACTTGATACCTAATATACCATTGTATTTCCAGTGGTTTATCTTTACTTTGATTTCACGCAGACGATGATGATAAATGACCAGAAAGCGCGTCCCAGTTTTTTCCTATCGTTGTGTTGTGTGATCCGCCGGTTCAGTTTACATCCGAATAATACGCTCGTAAATATATCTGCGCAGTGTGCGAGATGATATTCGTCAGTGTGGTGAAAACGAGCAGCTGGAAAAACGACTCGCACGAAATTCGCCGCATTGCGTGCGAGCTGGGGGTGGCAGTCGGTCGCTACACTCGGATACAGTTTGTTAGTTACGAGTTGACTGAAACCGTCAGGCGAGAGAGTGTACAATACGTGCACGCGCATACACATCATTGCCGTTCGCCGCCACCAGCGGCGCACACACATTCTTTTCGCACGTAATTCCATCTTATTTATTTACATATATATGGGGCATGAGTGCGCTGTGGTAAATGCGTGATATACTTTCATGAAATCCTTTGCACGAGAGAGTTTTCGTCGGGATTTTCACTCCTCCAGTATACCTTCGTTCGGTGCCTGTCTTACTACATTTACCGTCAGCTTAATTAACTTAAATTACGCAGATTGCCTCCGTGCTATATTTCAAAGTTAAATTACACGAAGCGAATCACTCGCTCGATAGTTAAGACCAAAAATAATTTATTTGAAAAATTTTTGTTTGGTTATTCAATTGAGTATCACTCAGAAAAAAATAAAGAAAAGGAGGAGAAAGGTGTAGATAAAAATCTGCTCGCATTTTTGGAGGGTTTTCTTTCAGGTCACGTTTATTTTTTCTTTATTTCTTTCTTGTTTCATCAATCACCGGACGACCACAGCGAACTTATCGAATGACGTGCAAACACGCTCGACAAAAGTTTCAAAAGAAACGTGTGCGAAATGAATTCCCCGCGCTAAATATCAAACTATTGCGCAACAAGTTGGCCGGCAACAATCTGACACTCGTGGCTTGGAAAAAATAATGACTGCCCTAAGGATTTCTCCCCTCATTTTTCCCCAACACACACAAACACACGCACAGAGTTCTTGAAATTGCAATTTTTTTCAAAACTTTCAAAAAGCTTTCTGTTTGCCGCAAATGTTTGTTTTAAAATGTTCAAATGGTCGTAATGTTCTATCAGTACTCTTCCTGACATCATGCGCAGCAGTAAATATTGCATGCGATTCTCAGCGGGCCTCGCAAAGCACAACATTGCTGGATATGCTTCAAGTTTACGCAGCGCGATTTGATACGTCTGGGAGCTGCTCGCGGTATACATTTTCATCGGCGTCATCGGTATTTCAATAAATGATTGATTCCTCCTCTGACGCCACGTCGCGCAAATCTCTTATTTCAGAATTTTTTTTCTAAAACAAAATTTTTCGCTCAACTTTCAAGCGATGTATTATATTTTTATTATTGAATGTACAAACAATTTATTTAATCTAAAAACTTTTCTGTCACTTCCATGCCGTGTCCTTGAAACAATATTTTGTCACCGCACACCCACTATAACTCTCCGTCTTTTATCTCTCGGTGGCGTTTCGGCTTCTTGAGCCCCGGAGCTCTTAAATAAAACATTAGTTTCCGCTCGTGAGAAAACTCCCCGCGCGTAATCTCGTAATGCAATATTCAATTACCTGCCAGGGCCGAAAAATTACTCAAATCATACGACAAAGATTTATCTCCCGCGGGGGCGGCCGCGCGCTTGGTCGGTTAGTTCCGCTGCTAAAACACCTAAATAACTTTTACAACAACTGTTTGTTGTGCAATAGCAACGTTTATTACACATTCGTGCAACTAACGGCGTTATTTATGATCTGGACATTCTGTGCATTCTTGCAACGTCGGCGGTGGCGCGTAAGGCGGCAGTGGAGGCGGCGGCTTGTCCTCGTTCTTGTTGAACGTTTATATTCCTATAAATATTCCATAGCGGACAGTTTTTATTATCAGCAAACGTATAATATTTTAAAATATTTTTGGGCATTTTTTCCACGGTTTTGAAACAGAAAAAGTGGTATTTTAGTCACGGACGGCCAAAATCATGATTAAAGAACTTTAGTCACGGGGTAGAGTTTGCATCTGCGCATTTCCTACGGTCCAGTATAAGATCAATGCCACGCGCAACCTTCACCCCGTTACTAAAGTACTTTAGTCACGGCTTTAGTCACGACCGTGATTAAAATACCACTTTTTGCGTCTAAAAACCGAGAAAAAGGATTTAAGGTGAAAATTAAGAAGAAAACAATTTGAGTGCTTTTGGAACACATAATTTTTATCCTGCATGCATAATAAATAATTCAATTCGCCGGCATTGTTGAGAAATATCCTAACCAAGCAGCACAACATCGCATGTTTAACATATTCGAGAACAATGCGCGTATTGTTGGCACACAAAGACTTGTTTGTAGCAAGTTGGTTTGCTTAAGGTAACTTCGGTTTACATTGTGCGCGCGGAGTTTGCAACTCCTCACAGGCACGAGGATGAAAATTACATTTGATATGTACGCGGAATCAAATTCCAAATTAGTCAACTGCGAACTTGTCATCTGTGTATCTAAGTGAAACCAGCTCCAGCTATCACAATGAAGAGGACGATAATTTATCAAGATAGCAGTCGGAATACGTATTTATACAGGGTGTATACAAAAAAACTGATTTGCCAATTTTTTTCAATTAAATTTTCAAGTTTCGGTGGTGTTTGAAATTGGTTAATCAGTCAGCAGTCACGTGTCAATCGATTCGATTGTCTGATCGGATGGAAATGGAGAGTTTAAAGTCGGGGCTGATGTGCGGTGTTGTGGCTGCGCGACGCGCTCGGCTTCGATTTTCCAGGTTTTCCCCTCAATTTGATTCCTTTGTGGGCGAAGCCCAGTCATGCGTTCTCGTACATTTCAAGCTGTCATTCACTGGTCAGATATCCCCATTATGCGGAGGGCTTTTCGTCGAATTGCCGTGCGAAATAGAGCGAAACACGTCCGAAAACATGCGTGTTTCTTGTTTTTATTTTCTTTTGCTTAAAAAAAAACAAACAAACAAACAAAAACATTTGGAAAAAAATAAGACCACGCATTAAAATTC